AACAACAACGATACAGATAAGGAGAAAACACGACAAAAACAGACCCGCTCTCTCGGACCGCACCGGTGCCGCATGCTCCCGAGCCGCGAGTGAGTTCCTGCCGCGCCGCGCTGCCCCCCCCACCGGAACCCAGCGTGATGGCACATGGTATGGAATACCGGGCTCTGTTTGGGCAGGTGGGGTCAGCCCCCACCCCCTGGCTGTGCCCCTTCCTGGAGTCCGGTGAAAATTAACCCTGTCCTGGCCAAACCCAGGACAATCACGTAGGAAAAGAAAAGTTTGTGCATAAGAACACCCCCAACCTGCGACTCTGCCTCACCTTTTTTGGATAAGCTAGAAACAGCCTGTATCTATACCAGAGTGGTAGGGAGGGATGAAGACAGATGAAGTAGGAGATGGGAGAAACATTATTAGATGATTTGGTTCTTATCCTTAAGGGAAGCTAGTGAGACTAACACCACAAATATGTGGGGCTCTTTATTGGTAAAATACAGTGTGAGATTAAAAAAGGAGCTTTGTTGTTATGGTGAACTTCACAAGAAAAGGCCAAATCGTTTTAAAAAGGAAGTGATCAATTTGGTCCACATACAGAACACTCAGTTCACATACCTAAAAGTCCACAAATCCTATTTTATACAGCATGCAGACCCACATGTCAACTACAAAAAGTAATACTTTAAGAACACTTTTGCTTCACCCTTGGGCTCGAAATGCATGAAGATGAAGCTTGCCTTTTTTTTTTTTTAAAAAAACAACCTTGACAACATTTCCATTTTTATCTCAAGAAACAACAATAATTGCTTTAAAGTGTTCTTTCGTTCTCTGGGACAGCCCTAACTGGAAACCATTTTACAGAGTAAGAAAGTTAGAATCAGGTCTAAAAATTAGCTTCAGACATCCACCAGTCAATAGCTAAGAGCATTTGAGAAACAAATTATCTGAGGTTGGCTAACTTACATACTGGTATTCCATTAAATGCTACAGATTCAGGGATTTCATACAGGAATATGGAAAGAGCTGTCTGAGTAACACCAATGTTTTTGAAGTGACATCAAGCAGCCCTTTCCACTACAAGAAACGGTTAGATCTAATGACCTGAAGACCAACTTTAAAGGTAAAGTCATACTTGCCATTTCTTAGTTCACCCCTATGTTATGCAAGGAATTTAACATAAATTATGACATCATGAATTTAGCTTATGCAAATGTAATATTCTACAGGCTTATTCATAGAACAGGAAGCTGCACAAATACTTAGCAACTAGCTTCCCTAACACCGTAGGAGACCTGGCTCACTGCCATTATAAAAATATTTTCATGAAATCTGTGCTTTCTGACTAAGCATAACCTAAACACTGTACCTCAGCCACATCACATTTTACTTCCCGATACAAAAGAAGAGCAGAGTAGACGGTGGCTCAAAATTTCAGTTTGTTTGACCAGTTCACCAAATAGATGAAGACTTGTCTGGCTTTTTTCCATTTTAAATTATAATAAATACTTCTATAATGAGAACAAGCAGCACATATGGGCTTATACATTTTTTAATTTTCTGCCAATACCAATTTTAGTATTAATAACAAGTGCTCTTATTTTTAAATGGTTTGCTATTTTTTCGATTAGGTGGGAATCAAAGAGAAAAAAGAAAAAAGGAGAAAGAATATATAACTGCACTTTGCTGACAGCCAGTTTCTACAATTTACTTTCAGGTATACCTTGAACTCAATTACATTACTATCACAATACTGTGTAAAGAAACACACACCCTTATTAGCCGAGTTTAGGGCTTTTGATACAGAATTCTCAGCCAGACAAGCTTTGCAAAGAAGACTATCTAGTTAAATCTGTGCTAGTAACAATACATTAAGTGAGTAACATCTCAACTTTTTTCTGCTTCAGTATTATATGTCAATCTATACGTATAGTGAGAAATGAGTTCACTATACAGTTGGAAAACATTACAGATTAAATGCTTACCTGACGTGGATTTTGCTGACCAAATTTAACCTGGTGAGTCACAGCCTTGATAAATTTCTGTTGTTTTGCACCTTTTTTATTCTTCAGGCCAAATGTTTTGTCCTAAATCAAGAGATAAATACAGCCAAATTAACTGAAACTGTCCAACAGTCAGAACAAGTTTGTTACTGAAAAAAAAACCCAACCCAGACTTGCCACTCCTCTCAGGTTTTCCCTTAAACACAGACTACTTCTGCCAGCAACATAAGCAATCCAAGAAACAGTTAGACCACCCATACCATCTTCAAAATTTGCTTTTCGAAAGAACCTACTAAATGCTGCTTTCATGTGAGCTATTGCTTTTATCATCAGACCTACTTGTGTCCAAGCATTAGCATGAGCACATACACATGGTGTTTCGAAGCCCCTCAAGACAAAAGGACAAAATGTTTTTGGTGACTACCCAGGTAACATCCCAGGAAAATAAGACGACTGAATAGCCATAAATACTGCGGTTTTTTTCCCTCTATCTACCTGAAATCACTTGTTACTTTTTTCTTCAAGTATTCATATATATATTATATATTTATGTTATGCAGATGAATATTGTCACATCTAACATATTTTTATTTTCAAATACTTTAAGCTTTTCAACTTCTAAGTGTACTAATTTGAAGTCTTTCCCCATGTCAAGTCCAGACAGGTGTTTGTACTTCCTAAACTCCACTGCAAGTAGTTTCTGTTTACTGCATGAACCAATTAACCCTCTACATCTCCAGTTTTATTGTTATAGGGAGGTTTCCATACCAAAACTATTAATAATTTCTTTTAAAAAAGACAGTCCATTTTCACACAAGATACCTGAAGCAGAAATTATTTTTTTAACAGAAGTACCTACATTAGAAGCTTATCCATGCCTTTCATTTGATACTATTTTTTTCCTTCCAGGAACAAGTAACAGATGTTTGGCCAGTGATAACACTTCAGTTCACACACACTTATGGAAACCCTAACAATCCAAAAAAAACATTATAAAAGATTTATAAAATAAACAGTTCCAAATTTCCAGTCACACTGTTTTCATTTACAACGTATCCTCTATCAACAGCAGCTAATCCTCTGCTAGTTGATGCTAATTTGAAAAATATGCAATTCATCAAAATAATTAGTTGGGAAAGAAAATAGGTCATTCACACACTTGATTTCTGTGGCAAACGCCACATGAAACATACAATCTCTGCGTAACTGAATTTTGTAATAAATTGCTAATGACCAAAACAAATTTTTCCCCTTCTAGCTGCAGTGTTTTGTACTAAAAATCAGGATTTCCCTATGTTTCTGGATTCAGCAAGAACACCAGAAATTCTGAAGCCAACAGAGAGAACAACCAGTCTAGCCTAACGCTTCCAAAGAACGTCAAAACAATGTTCTGCAGTGCTAGATTTAAATGAACACTTGCATTACGTGGACATTCTGCTTAAAAGAGCTGAGCAGCTACTAACCTTCTTGCCAACAGATGCAAGCAAAAATTTATTTTTCTTTAACTGTGCTCTCTTTGTACTCTCAACACAGCTGTTTTATTGTATAGTGGAAGACTTGCACGACTATCCTAATAACTAACGCACACGCATACCTCTAGCAGGTTTTTTTAAAACTGGTTTTACCATAGAATTGAGCCTCAGAAACTTAAACAGAATGCGAGATGTTACTTACTAATCTTCAAATTATTCCGCATGCAATTTCTATGAAAGATTTACTAAACTGTTACTCTATGAAATGCCTCCTTGGCCACGTTGGTCAAATCGTACCAAAAAACCCAGCAACGCAAACCACATGCGTGCTTTAAACTCAGTGAGAAACGCAAACCTACACCTCGGAGAGCCGGACTGGGAAAGCAGAGCAACACACAGAACACAGAGACGGAGCAGAGAAAGGGGGAGAGAGAGGAAAAAAAAGAAAGAGGGCTCCCGGCAGCCCGAAGGGACCGCAGGCCAGAGAGCGCCGGGGCTGAGGACCAGACCCCCGGCTGAAGCGGCGCAGCTCCAAGGGCGGCCATCTGACAGGCCGGGAGGGGAACGGGCGCGTACCCCGCCGCCCGCCCCGAGCTTTCGGCTCACCTTAAAACACTTTTTTTGTTTTTTTGCTTT